CCATGGCACTCTACTGAGGGTGATAAAGTGAGACTCTGTCTCTTAAAAAAAAAAAAAAAAAAAAAAGAGAAAAAAGAGAACAGCCTAAACCCAAGAACTGGAGGTTGCTGTGGGCTGTGACACCATGGCACTCTACCAAGGGTGACAAAATGAGATTATGTCTCTTAAAAAAAAAAATTATTTATATTTATTTATTTTTGAGACAGTCTTATTTTGTCACCCTCAGTAGAGTGCTGTGGCATCATAGCTTACACCAACCTCAAGCTCTTGGGCTTGGCAATCCTCTTGCCTCAGCTTCCTAGGTAGCTGGGACTACAGGCATGTGCCACTACACCCAACTATTTTTTTTTCTTTTATTTTTAGTAGAGACAGGGTCTCTCTCTTGCTCAAGCTGGTCTTAAACTCCTGAACTCAAGCCATCCACCTGCCTTGGCCTCCCAGAGTGCTTAATTTTTTTTTTTTTTACTACAATGCTCATGCTAGCCTGTGCTCATAAATAAAGTGTTAGTAGAATACAGCCATACCCATTCATTTTTACTATGTTGTCTCTCCCTACTTTTATGTTACAACAGCAGAGTTGAGTAGTTCCAACAAAGACTACGGCTTACAAAGTCTAAATCATTTACTCTACAGCCCTTTACAGAAAAAATTTGCTAATTTATGGCCTAGGGCACCATCTAAGAGAGAATACATTTTCTAGTCCACTTGGCAGGTATATTCCTTTATCACAGCTCACTAACCATTAGTATCCCCTAACTAACTCCTCTTACTCTAATTTCAAGCTCACAGAGAGAAATCTGATTTTCCACGTAGGCATGCCTACAAGAAGACGTACTGACCAGCTAGTGTGACCGTTCCTAACAAGTAATTATTCTACTTTTCACTGTGCGTTAATTAAAGAATTGGCTTGGCTTGGCGCCTGTGGCTCAAGTGGCTAAGGTGCCAGCCACATACACCTAAGGTGCGGGTTCGAATCCCCAGCCCGGGCCCGCCAAACAACAATGATGGCTGCAACGAAAAAATGGCCGGGCGTTGTGGTGGGTGCCTGTGGTCCCAGCTACTTGGGAGGCTGAGGCAGGAGACTCGCTTGAGCCCAGGAGTTGGAGGTTGCTATGAGCTGTGATGTCATGGTACTCTACCCAGGGGGATAGCTTGAGGCTCCGTCTCAAAAAAAAAAAAAAAAAAAAAAGAATTGGCTTGCTGATTTATACTTCAGTCTCTCATGAAGAGGGGATTAGCATGGGCCAGTGCTTTAGAGACCATCACCTCTGATATACTAAAAGTTTCTGTTCCTGCAAAATTAAGAACCAGCTCCTGAAATATGGAGGGAGATCCCTCTCGATCTAGGGCACCCACTCAGTGAACCTACTCAGTAGACCCTACTTGGGTCCAGAGCCTACCTTCAAAGATTTCTCTGTGACATCTCACTCTACCCTACCAAAACTTAAGGATTGAGTACATCTAACTTCTAAATATCACATGCAGAAATAACACATGGTTTTCACATAGAGACTCAACATTCCATATACAGTATGTTGGTTCAGAAAAGTAACTTTTTATTTTTTATTAGATAAGCACTTCCTTTAAGTACCTGATATGACATAAAAAAAATTTTTTTTTTTTTTTGAGACAGAGTTTTACTTTGTCACCCTCAGTAGAGTGACGTGGCAGCATAGCTCACAGCAAACTGAAACTCTTGGGCTCAAGCAATTCTCTTGCCTCAGCCTCCCAAGGAGCTGGAACTCCAGGTGCCTGCCACAATGCCTGGCAATTTTTAGAGACAGGGTCTCCATCTGGCTCAGGCTGGTTTCGCACCGTGAGCTCAAGCAATCCACCTGCCTTGGCCTCCCAAAGTGTTAGGATTATAGGCGTAAGCCACAGTGCCTGGCCTGATATAAATGTTTTAAAAGATCATCAAAAGAAAGTTAACATCTAGGCTCGGCTCCTGTAGCAAAGTGATTACAACACCAGCCACATACATTGAGGGTGGTGGGTTCAAACCTGACCCAGGCTAGCTAAACAACTGCAACAAAAAAAATAGCCGGGCATTGTGGCAGCTCAATAGCTACCTGGGAAGCTGAGGCAAGAGAATTGTTAAGCCCAAGAGTTTGAGGTTGCTATGAGCTATGGCACCACAGCACTCTACTGAGGGCAACATAGTGAGACTCTATCTAAAAAAAAGTTAACATAAAAATCAACATTTTGAAAATGTTTTAAGAATAAATCATAAGCTACCTGTCAGCATCTGCATTTCATCATAAGACGTGTTACTCTGAAAAGCTGTCATTCATACTCAACTCTTCTAAATCAAGATTTCTTACCTGATTTGGGCTGATCTTTTCTTCAGCAGCTGTGGAATGTTGACATGGGTCTTCCTTTGCTCCCTCACAAGGATCTCTCATAATTTCCGCCTGGTCCCCTTGATATCTGAAGACCTTTGGCTCCATGCTCTTGGTGTTCTCTTCCCTATCCAAGATCCCAGAAGCCACAGAGCCTCCTGCTGTGGAGTCCACTAGCCCACACTGCCCAGGCTCACCCCCATGATTCAAGGTCTCCCAGGTTTCTTCACCACAACATTTTGCATGAGTCCTCTGCAGCTCCAAGGGCAATGCCCTACTCTGACTTACAAGAGAGCTTGAGGCTCCAGGTTTTACATCCGGAATCACACTTGGCTCAGAATCAGCATGAAGCTCTTTGGAGACACTTACTGGGAGTTCAGAGTATAATTCCTGTACCACGGCAGACATGGAGGAATCAAGTGGAACTGGCTGAGTCTCTATTCCGGATGACAGCATTAGGGCAGATGTAGATTTTGGAGTCAAGTCTTTTACATCAAATGGTTCACCCTGACACAAATCAAAGGAAGGGATAGAAGTTTAAAACTTTGACAGGGCAGGAAAAAAACTATCTCAGTTCAAGCTGGCTAAAAAGAAAAAAATAAATTCTACTTCAGAAGCCATTATCGGGGATCAAAAAATTCCCAATAAACTGAATTTGTGAAAAAATTCCTTATCTTTAATAGACACCTGTCTAATCTCAGTTCAAATACTGCCTTATGAACAATTCTAAATTTTAATCTCGAGGGCCAGCAAATATAGATGAGTATAAGACACACTTAAGCATTCAAGAGTAGACCTGATATAAATTACAAATAAAGAAGGGTTTCTACTTATTTTCAGAGCATGAACCTTATCATTTTGTTCACTGCTGTATCCCCACTGCCTAGTAGGTATTTAGTAAATATTTGTTGAATGAATACATACTGGAGAATTTGATACACTGACGTGGTGGGACTCTGAAGACTATGATACACTGACTTTCCTCTTTGAGGGAGGATATGAAGGAAATGGAATTCCATTCCTTACTTGAACTATACCTACCCAGACTAGCACAAAATACTATTAAACCAGCTCTTTAGCAGAATCCTCCTGATTTTCATTCTACATAGAGAGATTTTTCAAATGCTTTCAGTCACTACTCATTTGATTCACACAACCACCCTGGTAGGTAAGTAGGGCAGCTATCAGCTGCCCATTATAGATCATAACACCATACCTAAAGAGGTCAAAAGTGACCTGCTTAAAATATTTCAGGTTTGTTGATGGAGATGAGCTCCCTGGGTCTCTGTGACCTTGTGCCCAGGAGCTCTCTCACTCTTGCCCCCCAGAGGTATGGATGTTGTTAAAAGTTAATCCTTGACTACTCCCCCCTCTTCAGCCTTCACTTTCTTTTTCTTTCTTTCTTTCTTTTTTTTTTTTTGGTTGAGACAAGAGTCTCACTATGTCGCCCTGCGCAGAGTGCAGGGGGCAACCTGCAACTCTTGGGCTTAAGTGATCCTCTTGCTTCAGCCTCCCAAGTAGCTGGGACTATAGGTACCCGCCACAACACCCGGCTATTTTCTTGCTGCAGTTGTCATTGTTGTTTAGCTGGCCCGGGCCGGGCTCAAACCCCCCAGCCTCAGTGTATGTGGCTGGAGCCGTAACCACTGTGCTATGGACACCAAGCTTCACTTTCTCAATGATCTCGCCTTTTCCTGCAGGCTCTCTGCTATGAGAAAGATTCAAAACTGTCCCTTTAAACATAGAGTTACTACTACATGACCCAACAATTTGACTTGTTGATATGTATTTGAAAAACATATGTCAACACACAAAACCATACACAAATTCCTTAGCAACACTACCCACAATAGCCGAAAAGTGTAAACAATTCTAATGTTTATAAACTGATGGATAAAATATACTATAGCCATACAATGATAATGAAGTACTAATGCACGTTATACATGGATGGACCCTGAAAACATTAAGCTCATAAAGCAGCCAGTCACAAAACACACATATAATAAAATCCAATTTATGTGAAACATCAAGAATAGACAAGATCCAAAGAGACAGAAAGCAGATAGTGGCTGCTTAGGGCTGGGAGTGCTGAAGACACAGGAAGTGGTAGCTACCCCAGTTTCTCTTTGGGGTAATAAAAATGTTCTAAAGTTGATCATGGCGATTGATGGCTGCACAACTGTGACTATATTAAGAAAAAATTGACATGTACAATTTAAATTGTTCAATTATGTGGCACAGGAAATAAATCTCACTAAAGGTGATTTTTTTTTTTTAAAGAAACCTGTCCCTTGCCCTAATCTTTCTCTCAGTTCCTAATCTGTGTTTCACTCAAAACTGGTGCCACTAAAACTTAACATGTCTAAAACAGAACCCATTCAATCCACTGAATAATTGAGTCTTTCTATATACAAACAACTTTGAAAAACAAGGATACATAAGAGGGCCTCGGTAAACCTACATGCTTCTTCTTCTTCTTCTTTTTTTTTGAGACAGAGCCTCAAGCTGTCCCCCTGGGTAGAGTGCCATGGCACCACAGCTCACAGCAACCTCCAACTCCTAGGCTCAAGCAAGTCTCCTGCCTCAGCCTCCCAAGTAGATAGGACCACAGGCGCCTGCCACAATGCCCGGCTATTTTTTTTGGTTGCAGCCATCATTGTTGTTTGGCAGGCCCGGTCTGGATTCGAACCCGCCACCTTAGGTGTATGTGGCTGGCACCTTAGCCACTTGAGCCACAGGCGCCAAGCCTACATGCTTATTCTTATTGCCTCTCTTAGAAAAGGCACTATCATTATCCTGGAGTTCAGACTTGAATCTCCAGACATAACCACATCTACCCTTCCATTCACTGTGCCTGTGCACATGTAGCCTGTGGACTCAACCCCTGTGGTATTTCGAATAAATACTATTCTACCATCCCCTTGGTTCTAGTCCAAGATTTTGTTCCAAATGCTGTCCATTCAGGGTCAAGCACAAATACAAGTCTACTAAATAGATCTTTATTATAAAGAGTCAATGTTAATATGCATATAAAATGGTTCATCTCAGTCATTTAGCAGAATTCTAATAATTTTCAACCAGTAAAACAACTAGGCACACAGGTTGTGGGAACAAAACAGACACTCCCTCTTTTTTCTCCTAGTCTAATTCTGGGTCCTTTTTGAGCAGAATCTGCAGTTGTGCAGTGGAGTTATGAAGAACTAGAAGTCTCACAGGAGAAGTGATATTTAGATGCAAACGTAGAGCAACAGGTAAACTTATTCTAACTTACTAGTTTATATCACCATCTATCAAAATATTGGTAATGCCACAGAGTGTAGCAACAGAACACAATTTTGATAAGATATTGAAGTTCTTTAAACTTAAATTTCTTTCTTTCTTTCTTTTGAGAAAGAGTCTCACTATGTCACCCTCGGCAGAGTGCTGTCACATCACAGCTCACAGTAACCTTAAACTCTTGGGCTTAAGCAATTCTCTTGCCTCAGCCTCCCAAGTGGCTGGGACTCAGGCACCTGCCACAATACCTGGCAATTTTTTTTGTTGCAGTCGTTGTTTAGCAGGCCCTGGGCCAGATTCGAACCTGCCAGCCTTGGTGTTTGTTTCTGGCGCTGTAACCACTGTGCTATGGGTTTCAAGCCTAAACCTAAATTTCTGAATGCAATGAAGCAATTAAAAAGATGTAGAGAGCTACCTGGACTATTTTATTAAACTAAATTACCATGATCCTTATTTTGGTAAAATAGATATGCATATAGGAAAAATGTCTGAAAGAATATAAAGCAAGGGTGGTGCCTAAAGTAGGGCGCCAGCCCCATATACCGAGGGTGGTGGGTTCAAACCTGGCCCCAGCCAAGCAATTAAAAAACTATATATATATATGGCTCAGCGCCTGTGGCTCAAGTAGCTAAGGCACTAGCCACATACACCTAAGGTAGCAGGTTTGAATCCAGCCTGGGCCCACCAAACAATGATGGCTGCAACCAAAAAATAGCCAGGCGTTGTGGCGGGTACCTGTGGTCCCAGCTACTTGGGAGGCAGAGGCAGGAGACTTGCTCGAGCCCAGGAGCTGAGGTTGCTGTGAGCTGTGATCACAGCACTTTACCCAGGGGAATAGCTTGAGGCGCTGTCTCAAAAAAAAAAAAAAAAATATATATATATATATATACACATATACACACACACATAGCTGGACGTTGTGGTGGGTGCCTGTAGTCCCATCTACTTTGGAGGCTGAGGCAAAAGAATCGCCTAAGCCCAAGAGTTAGAGGTTGCTGTGAGCTATGATGCCATAGCACTCTACTAAGGGTGACAAAGTGAGACTGTCTCTAAAAAAAAAAAGAATATAAAGCAAATATTAGCACTGTTACCCTGGGTGATGGGATTAGCAATGACTTATCTGTATGTTTTTGCTATTTTTCAAAACAGTGACTATCAGGCTGAGTGCAGTAGCTCATGCCTATAATCCTAGCACTTTGGGAGGCCAAGGCAGGGTGGACTGCTTGAGCTCATATGTTTGAGACCAGCCTTCAAGGGCGAGACTCTGTCTGCCCTTGGACGGAGCTAGGCATTGTGGCAGACACCTGTATTCTCACCTATTCAGGAGGCTGAGGTAAAACAATCTCTTGAGCCTAAGAGTTTGAGACTGTTGTGAGATATGATGCCACAGCACTCTACCATGGGTGAAAAAGTGAGACTTTGTCTCAAAAAAAAAAAAAGTGTCTATTTAATTTTTTCTAACCATTATTTCTCAAGATCCAAATACACAGCAATAAAAAATAACTAGTATGTGTATTTTTTTTTTAAATGAGAAAGGGTTTTTGTGTTTTTTTAGAGTCTCACTTTATTGCCCTTGGTAGAGTGCTGTAGAGTCACAGCTCACAGCAACCTCCAACTCTTGGGCTTAGGCAATTCTCTTGCCTCAGCCTCCCAAGTAGCTGGGACTACAGGCGTCCAGCACAACGTCCGGCTATTTTTTTGTTGCAGTTTGGCTGGGGCCTGGTTTGAACCCACCACCCTTGGTATTTGGGGCCAGTGCCCCACTCACTGAGCCACAGGCACCACCCACTAGTATGTGTATTATTCATTTTATCAGTATGTTTACAACTGTCAGGTCTGTGCCACCACCATTGAAGTTTTTCTTTTCTTTTTTTTTTTTTGAGATAGAGTCTCACTTGGTCACCCTTGGTAGAGTGCTGTGACATCATAGCTCAAAGCAACCTCAAACTCTTTGGCTTAAGTGATCCTCTTGCCTCAGCCTCCCAAGTACCTGGGACAACAGGTGCCAGTCACAATGCCTGGCTATCTTTTAGAGACAGGGTCTTGCTCTTGCTCAGGCTGGTCTTGAATTCCTGATCTGAGGCAATCCACCTACCTTGGCCTCCCCAAAAGTGCTGCGATTACAGGCGTGAGCCACCACACTCAGCCACAATTGAAGTTTTTACATTAAAGTGTTAAATAAATTTCAAGTAAAAGAGTAACAAATGCTTACAAAATACAGAAAGAAATTTACACCTTAATTCCTACTAATGACTTATAGTCAATCTATTGGGCGTAGACATGAGACAATTATCTAATTTGAGGTATAAGCAAAAATAAACCATAGATTTATGAACAACTCTTGCCAGTTGCTACTGGCTTTCATTACCATAATACAAATGCTGCATTAGAGTACAAATAATATAGTAGTAGATTTAGAGACTGGATTTACTTCTAAAAAAAAAAAAAGACTAATGTTTATGGGGAGTATGCAATAAAATTATTCCAACAAAAGAAGAATTTTTCTTTTTTTTGCCAACAATTACCTCTTGATCTTTCTCCTTCAAATGAAGGAGCACTGCTGTGAGCAGTCTTAATTGCCGGTCTCCAAGTCAGGAGTCTAAGGTCCCTATCCTGACTCAGTTAACTAGCAGCATGGCCTAGAGTGTGTTAAGTGAAAGCTGTGTGAACTTTCTTGGGCTTGTTTTTCACATGTTAATCAAAAGAAGCTCAAAGGGTCTAGCCACCCATAAAAATCCCAAGACTTTAACGGATAACTTTTCTATTTCTCTTTGTTTCTGCAAAGCACACCTACAGACACCAACAATGGTGGTCAGAGTTCAGATTAATCCCCTCTGTAAGTACTCAAGGGCATTTAAGGTAATTTAAGATACTTTACATACAAAAAGAGGCAAAGCTTTTCTTTTAGTTTTCCTGCAAGTAATTTGGCAGTGTTAATTTCTATCCCACCAAAAAAAAACAAAAAAAAAAAAAAACAAAAAAAAACAAACCCTACTAGTGAAGGATTAATAGAGCAGTTCTCAATCTCATTAGAATATATTTTATAATACTAAAAACCTGGCAAAGTGGCAACTTTTACTTTAGCCATTCAAACATTCTCCAAAACAAGAGTTCTGGAAGTACAAAATGAATAGCAATAAGCAAAAAATAAGAAAAAGAAATCAAACAAAGAAAACAGCAGAACAGAAAACCAATAATCCTGAGTGCCCCAATAATCCTGAGTTTGAAAGTCTCCCCTCCTTTGATTCCAACCCAAAGGGGCTAACTCCCAGCACAGTCACGCTAGTGTTAAGGAACAATATTCACAAATAATGATCAGGCCCTCAGAAGTTCAAAACACTCCTTTCACCTTGAGAAAGGGGTTTTCTTTTCCAAAGATTGAGACTTTGTAGCCAGTCCTTCCATGAGAGAATATGGAGATTGGGCCTCTTTTTGAAAAAGAGAAAGAAATCTTTTAACAAGATCTCAAGACAAACCACAAAGTGAGGCAGGGAAGTACATATACTCAACAGGGCTTGATTGGCTCTTCAACGTGGAGTGTGCAGGAAATCTCAAAAGCATTAAGGATTGTTTCCCTTTTCCTCCCTTTATTAGCATGAAGAAAAAGGATCCCTCTGTCTCCAAGTAAGGAGTGAAACAGTGAAAATGCTCCTGATTTCTACTGACAAAGGCTCCCTGTATAAAAGATTTTCACCTCTTTTTCAAATGAAGAGAAAAGAAACTATCTGCACCACTCTAGATATATAGGAAGAAAGAGCTCTATCCTCAAAGGTATAGAGTCTTATTTTTCTTGGGAGAGCAAGAGAAAGGAATAGGTTGGAATTGTCTTCTTGGGGGATGGGGAGATATGCAGATAGAAGGAAGTCTTTTTTGTCACGAGCAAGTAGGGGGAGTGAGAGAGGACATCTCTTAGATTTAACTAGTCAGGAAGAAGTGATAGCTTCTGTGGACAAAGGAAAGGCCGGTTCTGGCATCAGTTCTCCCTTCCTCTAAAAAGTAGACATGTTCCCAAAAGCTGTCTTTTTTTCCCGGTTATTTTCAGTGACGCACTCTTTGTTAATTTTATAAGTAGAGTATGGTTAAGATCTAAGGGGAATGGAAGAGTCTTTTCCTACACCTGGGATGGGGTATGTTGCGGGGGGGCCTTCCTGTCCTGCGGGAAAATGATGGGCTGAACACTAATAATGAAGATGGGAGGGGCATGCATAGAAAAATCTACTTCTCTGTGCAAGATGTAAGTTTTTTTTTTTTTAACAAATTAAGTAGCAGTGATAGCGACAACTTACCAAAAGCTTATTATATCCAAGTATTTACACAAATGCTTCTTTAGCCGTCATGACAATTCCAAGAAAAGTACCCAAATTAGAGAAAAACTGAGGCTAAGAGAAGTTAAGCAATTAGTCAAGGTACCAAGATGTTAAGTGAGACACAAGGTTGCTCCAAAAGCCATGCTCTTAATTGTGCAAGGGAAAGGAGCTAACTGCACACCAGGAGACTTAAAAGGAAGAAAAGCAGCACCGAGGCTCCCTCTGTGGACATGATGGGGGGAGGGGGAGAGAGGCTAATTTCCAATACCATGAAGCAGATCCAGGGGCTTCCTCATTACGTCTTGGGGTAAAGCTGAAAAATAAAAAAGGCAAATCTTTCTCTTACAGAGAAAGAAGATCCCCTGAGTGTCTTAAGGTAAGTTGGGAGTCTCACGCTTCACCTGGGGGACGCTGACCAAAGTAGAAGGAAAGGTCTCCTTTAGAGGTTATCTCTTATCCTTCTTCACGATAAGTTCAGACACCCCATCTAGCACCCTGGGAGTGGGTGTCCCTCTGCTGACAAACTGACGGGAGCAGAGCAAGAGCGTACGCCTACGACAAGGGGCGTCGTCCTCTCGAGGAGAGAAGTTAGGGGGGGTCCCAGTCCTAGCGAGCTTGAAGAGTGCCTTTTGCCGTCGGAGCCATGACTCGGAGGAGCCGTTTTCCCCTAGCGACGCAGGGCCCGGTCTCCTCCCTCTCCCCGGGTCCTGTTGCTGGCCGCAGCACAGCCTCCGTTCTTTTCGGCGCCCCGAGAGGGCTGGGGGCCCGGGCTCCCCCTTTAGCCAACACCGCCGGGCGCAGGGTTCCCTTGGGGCGGAGTCGCGTGGGGTGGCTACAATCGAAGCCTTCCCGCCCCAGGCCTCTTACCCTGAGGCCTGCTCCGCGGCCCGCTCTTGCCCAGCCAGCTTGCCTCTGCAGCCGTAGCCCGGTCGCCTCCAAGTCCACCTGAGCCGACCGAGCCGACGGAGCCCGGAGGCGCTCCGGCCGCCGCCGCCGCCTCTTCGTCTCTATGGTCCCGCAACACTTCCTCATCCGGGGCCCGAGCCAGCCATGCGGACTCTCCTAAGTCCCGCCCCCGTACTGCACTCGCGCGCGCGCACAAACACACCTACTCGCCAAGGGTGGCTCTTCCCGTGTTCGATCACCCGCCCTCTGCTAGCCGCAGCCTCCCTCAACCCCGCCCCTGCGGCTCAGACTCTTAAAGGGAGACATCCTTTTGGTTCTGCTGCGGCGAGTTCCAGGAGATACTGCCCACGTCCACTGCTACCACTCTCGTCCAGTACACCATTTTTCGATCCTGGACAGCTGCACCTTTAGGAGCCTCCCTGCTTCCACTCTGGCAGTCTGAGAGATCTTTTTATAACCGGAATTAGTGTTGTGTGTCAAGCCATTCTCTTGCTTATTATGATCACACTGATCATTGTATCTTATAGCACCCCTGCCTCCAGTCTGTTACAGCGCCTTGTTTTAATTTTTTCAGAACTTTAAGATTAGCTGAAGTTACCATGTTTCATCTCATTTCTTGTTATTCATCATCTGTCCTCTTTGATTTTTTTCCTGTTCATCACTCTGTGCTCAGCCCCTAAAGTGGCCTCTGGCACAAAAAACACTCAATGGATGTTTGAAGGAAGGAAAAAATTTTTACCAGGAGGGAAATGAGGGGTACTAGAGAATGAAATCAACTTGCCCCAAGTCACATAGCTGTGTGTTAAAAATAGAAATCCGTTGCTTTCTTGGAGCCTGTCCACCTGGCAGACTAGTGAGCTAGCAGTTTGGAGGTTTTGGGGGGAGATTTTAATTTTCTTTGCTCTGATCAAGATTATTTTGGAGCCTGTGAACATGGATTTTGGCTGAGATGGTTTTCCCAGCTTTAGTCAGACCTGGAGATATACAAACCCAAATATCCTAACCCTATTGTGTACAGCTTATATGAGTTCATATAGACATATGGTTCATGTACAGGCTACTGTTTTTCCAATATACACAGATGCTATTTGGAAAAATTAACTAGATATTTACTTTAGAAAGTTTCTAAAGTTACAGTCTCTATGTCCTCAAGTACTTTCTGAGGCAACTATATGACCATAGATGCTGGTCTGAGAAGGCCAGCACTATGTATAACTGGTATTTCTTTTTGCCTCAGTCTCTAATATGGCTCTGAAGAATACCATTATTGATTTTGTCTTTATTTTAAAATGTGGTAGTTTAACGGCGGCGCCCATAGCTCTGTGAGTAGGGCGCCTGCCACAGGCACCAAGGCTGGTGGGTTCAAACCTAGCCTGGGCCAGGTAAACAACAATGACAACTGCAGCAACAACAAAAAAGGAGCAGGGTGTTGTGGCAGGCTCCGGTAGTCCCAGCTACTTGGGAGGCTGAGGCAAGAATCACTTAAACCCTAGTTTGAGGTTGCTCTGAGCTATGACGCCATGGCACTGTACCAAGGGCAGCATAGTGATACTCTGTCTCAAAAAAACTAAAAATGAAATGTGGTAGTTTGGCCGGGCACAGTGGCTCACATCTGTAATTCTAGCACCGTGACAGAATAAGAAGGGTGGATTGATTGAGCTCAGGAGTTTGAGAGCAAAACCTAAGCAAAAGCACCACCCATTTCTAAAATATAGCCAGACGTTGTGGTGGGCACCTATAGTCCCAGCTACTTGGACAGCTGAGGCAAGAGTATCACTTGAGACCAAGAATTTTAGGTTGCGGCTCGGTGCCTGTGGCTCAAG